TGTACGAATAAAAGAAGGAGACCAGTGGAAGGCAGTGTTCCAAACGCCACGAGGGGCGTTTGAACCAATGGTCATGTACTTCGGACTTAGCAATTCCCCTTCCACGTTCCAAACCATGATGAACGAACTTTTCAAAGAACTGATTGACGAAGGCCTTGTAGTTATCTATTTAGACGATTTACTTATCTTTACGGACAATGATGTACAAAAACACCGAGAAATAGTACGACGGGCTCTGAAGATTCTTGAAGACAACGATTTATATATAAAACCAGAAAAATGTGCATTCGAAGTAGACGAAGTTGAGTTTCTAGGAGTAGTAGTGAAGGACGGAAGGGTGCAGATGGAAGAGGCGAAAATAGAAGCAGTGAAAAACTGGCCGGTTCCGAAGAATGTGCAACAAGTGCAACAGTTTTTAGGATTCAGCAACTATTACCGACGATTCATAAAAGACTTCGCCACCGTCGCTAAACCATTGCACGAGCTCACCAAAAAAGATGAGGAGTTTGTATGGAACGAAAGGAGACAAGAAGCTTTTGAGAAGCTTAAGAAGCTGTTTACCGAGGAACCAATCCTGGTACTGCCGGATACGGACAAGGAAATGAAGATCGAAGCAGACTCGTCGAACTACGCATCAGGAGCGGTACTCTCAATGCTATGTGACGACAACAAGTGGAGACCATGCGCCTTCCTGTCTAAAGGGTTCACGGAAACAGAACGAAACTACGACATCCACGACAAAGAGATGCTGGCTATAATTCGGGCCCTGGAGGCATGGCGACATTACCTAGAAGGAAATAGTCGACAATTTACAATATGGACGGATCACAAAAACTTGGAATATTTCATGACCACCAAAAAACTCAACAGACGCCAGGCGCGATGGGCACTGTATTTATCACGGTTCAACTTCTTATTAAAACACAAGCCAGGAGCGTCGAATATGAAAGCAGATGTCTTGTCGAGACGACCAGACCTTGATAGGGGGGAAGAGGACAACACGATGGTTCTACTGAAACCAGAGTACTTTCGAATCAAAGCCATGCAACAAGGCCACGTCTTGATTGAAGGACTGGAATCTACCATCTTGTCGAAAATCAGAAAATCGAAAAATTACGATGAGTCGGTGGTAAAAGCGGTAACGGAGCTGAAAAGATCCCCGACGAAGGTGCTGAGAGAGGCGGAGTGGTCAGAAGAGCAAGACCTGGTGCTATATCATGGGAAGGTATACGTACCCAAAGACACGGAGGTCCGAAGGGAGATCGTAAAACTGCACCATGATTCAACGGTGGCAGGCCACCCAGGAAGATGGAAGACAATTGAGCTGGTCTCACGAAACTACTGGTGGCCAGGAATGAACAGGTTCATAGCGGAGTATGTCAAGGGATGCGACCAGTGTCAACGAAGCAAAGCCTACTCACGACAACCACAGGGAAAGCTTCAACCCAACCCCATTCCGTCAGAACCATGGACGGATATCTCAGCAGACTTCATTACCAAACTGCCGAGGTCACAGGGTTACGACGCAATCCTGGTAGTAGTGGATCGCTTCACCAAAATGGTCCGTCTAGTACCAACCACCGAAGAGCTGTCATCATTAGGCCTAGCTAAACTATATCGGGACCACGTCTGGAAGGACTTTGGTCTACCCACCACTATCATATCAGACCGAGGACCCCAATTTGCGTCACAAATGATGCAGGAACTGAATAAATTATTGGGAATTCAGACACGACTGTCCACAGCCTTCCACCCACAGACCGATGGACAAACGGAACGAGTAAATCGAGAAATCGAGACTTACCTACGAATGTTCATCAACCATAGACAAGACGACTGGGCGGAATGGCTGGCGATATGTGAATTCTCCCTAAACAATAAAACTCAAACGAGCTCCAGGCAGAGCCCTTTCTTCTTAAATTATGGACGCCATCCACGAATGGGGATTGAACCACGGAGAGAGTCAAAAGTGGAAGCCGCCGATGACTTTGCCAAACGAATGACCCGGAGCTGGGAGGAGGCACGGTCAGCCTTGGTAAAAGCAGGGGAGGAGATGAAGAAGTACGCGGACCGACGAGTAGGGGAGATGCCGGAGTACAAAGTAGGGGATAAAGCTTTCATCTTCACCGATAACTTAAACACGTCTCGACCTTCGCGAAAATTGGAACAAAAGAAAATCGGGCCGTACGAAGTGGTTGCGGTACCCACAAAAAACGCAATAACCCTTAAAATTCCAAAAACATTATCTATTCACCCCACGATCTCCACCCACCGAACGGAAAAGGCCAACATGCCAACGATACCAGGGCAAAAAACGCCACCACCCCCACCGGTACGGATCCAGGGCGAGAATGAGTACGAAGTCGAAAGTATTCTAGACAGCCGACTCAGACGAGGACGGCTAGAATATTTGGTCAAGTGGAAAGGGTATACCGATGAGCATAACACATGGGAACCCGAGAAGAACCTCGAAAACGCACCCGAGCAAACTCGGGCCTTCCACGCCCGACACTCTGCAGCTCCACGTCGGATTGCGGCCGCGGTATTTGAGGAACTGATCTGGAAACCAAAATATGTATTCACTACCCCGACCATCAGTAGAACGACCAAGATCGACGAACCCGAGGGGAGCGCTGATCCACCCGACACACCCGACAGCCACGAAGACAAGCATGGCAATCAGGCCGGCTTGCTCAGCGGGGGAGAAACGATCCCAAATGGGGAGCCGAGGAATGATGTCGTCAAAGGAGATGTTGGACATCAAGAGGTAGTGGTTTCGTCAAGTGGAATTGACGAATCCTAGAGGGGGGGTGATGTTATGGTCCGGTCTGTTCCGAACACTATCTTTTTCGATATCTTATCTAAACGCGCAGGACGCGCCTATTACTAATTCACATTACGGTACCTTAGTAAGATCCTCACGCACAACACATGTCCGCAGTACATTACCAAGCACCTCATGGAATCGGTGCGCGTTCCATGGAAAGACGGCTGTAGTAGGCATGTAGTAGTACATGAGGGTTACGCATGTATTTTAGTATTTAAACACCAATAACAAGCCCTAGAACGCTAGCTCGTTCTCTTGGGATTTCCACTAGTAATAGTGAGAACTAAGTCAACTAAGCTACTTCGTCTATTCCTTTTGTTTTAGTATTCTTGTAGGAGCCACGTTAGTCTTTGACTAGTGTCGCCCTAACAAAAGACTTAGGTGTACACAAGACACGTAATCTTATTTCTCTAGCAGGGGTTTCACAGGTCAAAGCACTCAATTATCAACTAATCAAGTTTATTCTTTACTATGTAACCTACAGTAATACTCTACTTAATAAGAAGTAGGTACTGCAAAAGAAAAGGAGGGAAGAGGATGAGAAATGAGGGCAGGAGAAAGAAAGATGGTAAAAAGTCTCTTTTTTCTATCTACTACAATTTGGGGTTTATATAGACTACAGAGGAAAGGAGGCAGTGCAATGCCAAGCATTTCAAGGCTGTGCTGAATCTCTGAATGACTCATATTTCAGCAGGAGTAAGCCAATGATTTGTAATGGCCAAGCCAAAGCTTAGTAAGTTAAGGCTTGCTGCTTAGTAAGTACAATTTTCCACTACATCCTGGAAAGTTCTATAAACTTCTCAGACATTCTACTATGTTCTTGTATGTCTTTCAAGTTATTTGAGCTTTTCATGAACAAGATCTAATGTCACTTTGATAAGTATTTGCAAAATACTAGAAGGTTCCGTAAAGTGCTTCAACTTTCCGTACAGTTCTTGTCATTTCCGCAATCTTTACTTGTCATGTAACATAGTGATTTAAGACTTGTTGACTTACTAGGATGTTGGAATATTAATTAGGGGTCCCAGGAGTAAATAGGGGAAAGTAGGAAATAATGTCTATGATCATTATATGAGGTCCATTCGACTTGACTCAATTTGCAAGCGTATGCCTTGGTTTTATAGTAGCGTATGAAATAGCTATAAAACTCTAATATTCATGTCACTTACTACAAATCCCAATTTGGAGTATGACAGCACATGTGACTGCCGTGCCACACTAGCACACGACGCCTCTTCTTCTCAACCACCACCATCCCCAATCACCCTGCCTTTCCCCCAACAACCCACCACAGCAATATGCCCCCACGCAAGCCCACTTCGACACAGCGCAAGAACAAGGAGGAGGGGACCACAATGTGAGTGTGTCCCCCAGTTTTTTCTTTTTTTTTCACTGACACTGCCCCCACTTGTGTCCCATGCCCTATGCCCACGTCCTCCACTTCCCCATTTCCAGCACCCACCCATGTCTTTGCCCTTGCCTGGACGCTCGACACCCCCCACGCATCCCCACACCCTGTTTTCAATGACAATGACGACAACACCCTCCATGCATCCTGTTCTCAATGTCACCAACAACGATGCACCCTGCACCCCATTCTCAACGATGACGCCCCCCACACATCCCCACACCCCTGTTCTCAATGTTGACACCCCTCACACCCTTACACCTCACCCCTACCCCCTGGCTACCCCTGGCCCCTGGTCATCAACATGTACCCCTGATCCCCCTTGGCCCCCATCCACAGGGCTTCTACCAAGCCCAGGTCCACCAGGTCTGCTACCAAGGCCATGCAGCAGGAGCTCATGTGAGTTTGTCATTGCCAGTAGTGTACCAGTAGTCAGTAGTCATACTTCATGAGTAGTAGATAGAATAAATATAAATAAATTTCTTTTAAATCTCAAATAAATTAACAATCAATTAACAAATATTGTCTGATATGTGGAGATCCCTGTAACCAAGAAACCAACCAAGGCAAAGAAAAAGAAGAACATGTGAGTTACTGTCTGTGTCCCTCTGTTTGCTTATGCTCATTGTCTGTAGCACCTCTGCCGACCGTGATGCAGCTGATGAAGAAGCTAATGAGACTATGGTAGAGAATTTGACTGTATAAGTCTTTGCTTGTCATTATTTGTGATTGTACAACTCATCTTTTCGCACCAGTACTGCTAGGATGCTTCAGGAGAGTGGTGCTCCGCTTGCACCACCTGCTCGTCGAGTTGGGACTGGAGTCACCTTGGCTCCAATCACTCCGAGTATCACCACCTCTCGCATCAGGCATGAAGAGCCAGAGGATGTCCCCCAGATCACCATCAAGGACAAGGGAAAAGGTAGAGACCTTACCAATCTGGGTTCGCCGGATGCAGAGGAGGAGAAAGATGAAGGAGAAGATGCAGAGGCTGAGAAGTCTGATGAAGAGGGCGACAAGGAGAAAGATGCTGATGCTGGTAGCAATGGCGATGAAGATGGTGAGCCGAAGAAGACTGACAATGAGGACGATTCCGCTGAGGTGCCCATGCCTGCTGACTTGTCAGACAACAACAACGACACCATGGAGGTTGACCCCACCACTCCCAAGCGCCCTGCCACCCCCGCCAAACCCACCACTGCTTCCAAGCACAGAGCCAGCACTTCACCCACCACCACTCGTCAGATGGGTAAGGGTGTACGCAAGGACATCACCCATGTTAGTGCTGTAAGGGGACACTCCTATTTTCTCTCCTTTCCTTCATCCCATGGACTCTTACCTACATTCCCTTCATTCCCCTTCGTTCCTTTTCGCTCCCTTTCCTTTCCACTTCCTTTCCACCCACTCCTTTCGCATCCGAGCCGTGTCCGGTGACTCCGGAGTCTTCCCGCACTTCGGACACTTCGGACTTGCTCGGACTCATTTCAGACACTTCGGACTCGCTCGGACTTGTCTATACTCTTCGGGGCTCGTCCGGGTTACCTCTATCCTTTTCCCCCACTTCATTACTCTTCGCCCTTACTTCCCCAAGTCGCTGGCACGACGCCTGTGCATTTACCCTCCACTTCATTATCACATGTTTCCTTGTACCTTGTGATATTCGTTCGGACTTGTGGCTGGTGTACTGTACAGTTATCCTGCATTCCTCTCACGCTACTACAGTATATACTTCGCTTCCTAGCATGGAGAATCCTTATCCTGTTCTCTTTGGATTCTCCCTCTGCTAGGTGAGCAGCCCTCTCATGTACTGTAGTTAGTCTTATTCATTATCTTTGGATTCTCCCTCTGCTAGGCCTGCGCTGTTGGCCATCTTGAGGTTGCCCTTACAAGTGCTTCCTCTCACCGAGCTCCCCCCTCTCCTACATCTGATGACCTTGACGATTTGCAAGGCGCATCCCGTACCATGGGTGGCTTTGCTAGAGGCAAGGCCATGGGTGTTGCCTTGAACATGGCTGACTTTGGTGAGTTCTCTTTTTCTCTACAAGTCCAATTCTGACTTGATATCCAGACACCAACGAGAAGTTTGATGCCCCGCCTGTCATGGGCATGCTCCTTGTCTTCAAGGATGGGGCTTCGCCTCTGGAGGGTGCCAGGCCTGTTGGGGTTAAAGTCCCCATCAAGAACACTCTGGGGCCTGTCCTCACTGCTGCTGCCACGAAGATGGTGGCTCTTACTAGTAAGTTCTTTCTTTTTGCTTCGCGTTTTTTTACTTATTGCTTGTCATCAGACTCTGACATCCTGCTCTGGGATGCAGAGGACCACTTCTGGGAAGCCAAGGGGCCTTACGCCACCGCTGTCAGAGACAATGAGGCTGTCATCTGGGATGACAAGAACAAGCTCAGAATTGGAATTGTATGTAAATTCCGACTTGACTTTAAAAAAATTCTAACTTTGTTACAGCAACCATCTGAGTTTGGTGTCTCCTACCTTCCGCCTCCCTCTCCTTCCATCAACTCCTCCGCTGCCCCCTCTGCAGTCTCCTCCATCACCCCCTCTGCCTCTGTCTCTGTTGCCGGCACCCCCGGTATCGCTGTCAACCCTCTCACTGCTGCCTTCCGTGATGAACCCCTCCTTTTGCAAATTGCAACTTGCATGGGGGTACCCTACCACATGACAAACCATGGAGCTGCTTCAGCCCCTGGGCTTCCTTTGCTCAGGTCTATGTATGCTCGGATTCAGCTCGCCAATGAGGCCAAAGAGAAGTGGGACAGCTTGACAACTCCATGGACAGGGGGAATGTTTCGGAGAAGACCCTTCATTCTATCTTCGTTGGCAAGACCAATTTTAACACTTACACCGCCCTCTTCAACCACTCCGTCTTCTTTCCCATCATCATGGACATGTTGTGCATGTTAAACTTTAGGCTATTATAGTTTGATCAGAAGCTTGTAGAAGCGTCCTAATGCAGTCTAATTGCCTTGGTAACAATCACTAATGATGTGTTGATGCAATCAATCAATAATATGTAATGATTTGCGCTCTATTGACTCTTTGTGTCTATTACTCTAGACATGTATGGAAAATGACCATCCCAGGTTCCCACGGGTACTGTTCTGTGTGAGGCGTTGTCATACTCCAAATTGGGATTTGTAGTAAGTGACATGGATATTAGAGTTTTATAGCTATTTCATACGCTACTATAAAACCAAGGCATACGCTTGCAAATTGAGTCAAGTCGAATGGACCTCATATAATGATCATAGACATTATTTCCTACTTTCCCCTATTTACTCCTGGGACCCCTAATTAATATTCCAACATCCTAGTAAGTCAACAAGTCTTAAATCACTATGTTACATGACAAGTAAAGATTGCGGAAATGACAAGAACTGTACGGAAAGTTGAAGCACTTTACGGAACCTTCTAGTATTTTGCAAATACTTATCAAAGTGACATTAGATCTTGTTCATGAAAAGCTCAAATAACTTGAAAGACATACAAGAACATAGTAGAATGTCTGAGAAGTTTATAGAACTTTCCAGGATGTAGTGGAAAATTGTACTTACTAAGCAGCAAGCCTTAACTTACTAAGCTTTGGCTTGGCCATTACAAATCATTGGCTTACTCCTGCTGAAATATGAGTCATTCAGAGATTCAGCACAGCCTTGAAATGCTTGGCATTGCACTGCCTCCTTTCCTCTGTAGTCTATATAAACCCCAAATTGTAGTAGATAGAAAAAAGAGACTTTTTACCATCTTTCTTTCTCCTGCCCTCATTTCTCATCCTCTTCCCTCCTTTTCTTTTGCAGTACCTACTTCTTATTAAGTAGAGTATTACTGTAGGTTACATAGTAAAGAATAAACTTGATTAGTTGATAATTGAGTGCTTTGACCTGTGAAACCCCTGCTAGAGAAATAAGATTACGTGTCTTGTGTACACCTAAGTCTTTATACTTTAGTGATTGCTCCCCAGTCGTATTGATTTCGTATAGACCATTGCTGGCTAAGCATTAGACTATAGAACAATTCTATAGGTGTTTAGTAATAATATCGGAAGTGATCTAGCAGAAACGTCTGATCTAGAGCTTCATATTTCAGTTGAATTGTCGTATCGCAGTTTTGTATTATTGGAGCATTGCTAGTATACTCAGTCAGGAATATTCCACCGTCTCAGTGCTACTTGTCTTAGTCAGTTTACTATTTGTTTGTGTTTATCTACGTATTATTCACTTGTTGAGTAGTTCGTACTAACGTGTTGTGAAGTGTTTTACCCTACACTTCTTTCTTTCCTTCCGTCCCTTCTACCCCTTTCCACTCCTATTTCCCCTATCTGTACTACTCAGTAGTATAGTTTTCCAAAGCCATTATTATCAATAACACACCTCTCAGCCTGCACAACTTGGGTGACTGTTTGATCTATCTTGACTGATCCAACTACATCCAAAGCATTTAGTGAAAACCCCACTGAGTGTGACAGCGTGAATATAGGTGTCCACTAAATCACGTCCAAATTTGATTAGCTCCGGAGCAGCTTGGGAACATGCCAGACATCATTCTAATGATGGCTCCATGTTTTATTTTTGCTGCTTTTGCTTCCCTGCGGAGACCAAGGCATTCCAGTGCCTGTTCCGGCCGTCACAATAGAGGTCAATAGACCTACTAATGGGGCGCTGAACGTGGGAACGTTGCATTGACCATGGGAGTCGTGCGCTTGTAATGTTGTAATGTATGTACAGATTGCTAAACAGTGCTTGCGCACTTTTAGCAATGCTGTCAACACCAGTCATCCCATGATGACCTGGGTCGTTCCCATGGGTGTTGGCAGTGTCTATGGGTGGTCTCCAATGCGTGGGAACCGGGCGCTTAGCGTGCGACCGCACAGCACAACTTTGTTATACATTTGTACAACAAGTGTGCACATCACTTCAACACAACCCCCTGATGCAACACTTGGTGGACCCATGTATTGGGGCACCCACAAACAACCCCCTGGCCCAATATGTCCTCCTATCCCACCAATCCCATCATCTCCCTCAACTTTTCCACTTGTGGTTTGGCCAGTGCTTTGGTGAGCAGGTCTGCCGGCATTTCCTCTGTTTGAAGATAGACTGGCTGGATGCGCTTGCAATCAACTTGATCGCGTAACCAAAAGAAGCTCAAGTCCAGTTGCTTCATTCTGCCATGGTGTTCGGGGTTCTTTGCCACTCTAATCGCTGACTGGTTGTCCATGTAGAGCGTGGATGGTGAAGTTGGCTTGTAACCAATTTCCGAGAGGAGGTTCTTCATCCAGCATATTTCTTTACCAGCAGCAACCCCAGCAACATACTCTGCTTCAGTGGTCGATAGAACAACCATCTGTTGCGCTTTACTGCTCCAGCAGACCGCTCCCAGCCCAATCTTAACCAAGTAACCACTTGTAGACCGCCCTGTCCCTTTATCACCGCCGTAGTCTGCATCACTGTACGTGATGAAGATTTCATCTCCTATGGCGGGATCAGGTCCATATACCAACTTCATATCCATCGTGCCCTTCACATAGCGCAGCAAGTGCTTTACAGCCTTCCAGTGGATCATGCCTGGGTTCGAGTTGAACCTAGCCAGTGCACTCGCAGCAAAGGCTATATCAGGCCGGGACATTGTAGCCAAGTACAATAAGGAGCCAACAGCACTCATGTAGGGGATGTCCACCATCTCTTGTGCCTCTTCATACGTCTTGGGACAATCATCTGTGGTCAACTTCATACCCAGAGCCATGGGAGTCCCCACTGGTTTGCAATCAGACATATTAAACTGTGCTAGCTTGTTAACAATGTACTGACGCTGCGAGATGTAGAGTTTGTGGTTGTCCCAGTCTCGTGTTATTTCCATGCCTAGCAGATACAAAGTCTCCCCCAAGTCCCGCAACTTGAAATGCTTTTCCAGCTCAATCACAAACTTGTCAAGAGCATCCTTTGATTTCGAAGCAAGAGTGATATCATCCACCCACACTGGGACTATGATTCTGACAGTGCCATCATCATAGATGTAGAGCGAGGGGTCAGAGTAAATCTTCTTGAAGCCCATTGAATGTAGTGCTTCACCCAGCTTCTCACTCCACAACCGAGGTGACTGCTTCAACCCATACAGAGACTTGTTCAGTTTGCAGACTATCCTTCCTTGACCCTTGGTTACACCTTGCTTAAATCCCTCAGGCTGCTCCATATACACCTCAGCATCAATATCACTGTTGATAAATGCCTGCGAAATGTCAACTGAGCGCAAGTGCAGATCATCTCTAGCGGCTAGAGCAAGCACAGTCCTGATGGTAGCATGTCTAGATAGCGAAGCAAAGGTCTCATTATAGTCAAATCCGGGCCGTTGACTAAATCCTTTAGCAACAATCCGACCCTTGAACCGTTCAATGCTTCCGTCTGCATGATACTTGACCCGAAAGACCCATCTGACACCAATTGCCACTTTTCCTTCTGGCAGAGGTTCCAGTGTCCAAGTCCCATTAGCAAGCAGCATGTTGTATTCAGCTAGTGCAGCCTCATGCCATTGTGCAGTGTGAGGCGACCTCATTGCCTGAGCATAAGTCTCTGGCTCTACTAGCTTGCCAACAGGACCAGCCTCCAAAGCTTCTTCTTCAGACTGCGAATCATCATCATCTAAAGCAGGAGTTGGATCTCGCATTTCCCAGACGTCCGGAGTTGCCTCCCTGGCCTTTGGAGGTGCAGCAGGAACCTTCCACCATTCTCCTGGAGGTCTGATGTCGCGTTTTGGTCTTCTTACAGCCACAGGTCTATCATCGACTTCCGCTTCATCATCACTATCATCCACACGAGGTGCAGCTCTTCTGTGACGAGGACGAGGTGGGGGAGTCTCTTCTGGCTCTGGTGTCTCATTGTCATCCTGTTGCGCTTCACCCTCCACCTGTTCTTCTTCTTTCACATTATCATCAGTGTCATCCTCACTGCTATTGTCCTCATCGTCATTATCAGCTGCAGGCAAGTCTATAACCCTTTGCTGAGCATCATTGTTATCCTTGGATGGTGCCTCTGGTGCGCTCTGCTGACTGGTTTTCGAAGGCACTGGTTCAGAGAGATCATCCTCATCAATGCCTCTGAGAAGTCGGCCACTGTAAGTGTAGCGCTCATCAATGTCTGCACGTTCACAGATAATGACCTTCTTCGTCTTTGGATTGTAAAACTTCCAACCCTTGTACCCATCAGGATACCCAATGAATATGCACTTCTCCATATGCGAACCCAAATGCTCCCTCTTGTCCTTCTGGACATGCACATAAGCAACACATCCCCATACCCGCAAATGCCCAACATCAGGTTTTTGTCTATGCCACACCTCATATGGCGTAGCATGAGCTACTGAAGACGTGATACATCGGTTCAAGACATGAACAAGTGCAGCCAAACACTCAGCCCAAAAGGCCTTTGACAATCCAGCCTCATCCAGCATTGCAGTGATCCGTTCACTAAGCAGTCTGTTTGCACGCTCAGCCACTCCATTCTGCTGTGGTCTGTTTCGCACTGAGAACTGCCTTTCTATTCCATGCTCCTCCAAATACTTGTCAAACTCCTTGCTCATGAATTCACCACCCTGGTCGCATCTGAAGACTTTGATGTGTTTGCCAGTCTGGTTCTCAGCCCATGCTTTGAACCGCTTAAACGCAGCAAAGACTTTGCTCTTCAGCCTCAGTGGAACCACCACCTTCAGCTTGGAGTAGTCATCAATGAATGTGACCCAATATTTCTGACCAGAGTGTGAATCAACTCCGGCGTAGTGAACATCAGAGTGTACCAATGCCAACAGCTCATCAGCTCTGTTGGATGACGAAGGAAATGGATTTGCATGCATCTTCTCAGTCAGACAGGGAATACAAACAGGATCTGGCTTTGCAGAAGGGTCCAGTGTCAGTC